GCAGTGGACTACTAACCCGGCATTTCTCCAACCATTCGCGTAAACAGCTCCCGAAAAAGTGTCAAAATAAGTTTGAAGTTTGAATTTTCCTTTTATGTCATTGTGGATTTAATCTTATGTGTAAAATCGCAGTGCTTAAAGATGCCTTTTATGTTTAATGATTCTGGTTTTAGCACTTACTCTGAGGTTGGGCCCTGTAGATTAGAGTTGCGGAAATGTCCATGGTAGTGGTCAGATGACAGAAGTGCGAGTATAAGTTTGCCGTCGATGAAATCTCGTCAGGCCAGTACATTCATATGGGAAAGGGTCAAGTAAAACTGGCTAGAGAAGTCGATCAATGTTTGCCTTAAAGAATAGGTGGGGTGTGTAAATATGGGGGTGGGGGTTATTAGTCGACTTATGACCACGCTAAGTGCGGAGTCTGAATGAGGTTTCTCTGTGCGCCCAAGACCAGTTTTTGTAACTCGATTGCAATCATTCCTGTTGCTCCTGATAGACGCTGGGCTAGTAAAGAGACAGAGGAATTTGCTTTATTTTTAAAATACTAACTTTAAAATTTTTAGCAACGATGGGCTCCATTCACAGCGAAATAAAATAGATTAATAAATTTAATCAAAATTTAAGCGTTTTGGGCAAAAAGGACCGACTATTATGGGGACAGTTCGAGTCGTAGTTTCTCGGCTAATGTCCACCTACGGTGAGAACAAGGTGGACAAAAGTAAAAAATGCTATCTTAACATCGATGGTTTATCGCTACTCTCTCTTCTGCTGCCTTTCCTAATGCCTGTATTTTGTTAACAAGGGGCAGACAGCTTAGGCAACTGAATGAAGACAGCATGCATTGGTTTTTCCCTACTTCGTCCTGGTAGCCCTTGTGGTTCTGACAGGGATGCATGCAGTCGTAGAGGATACCATGGCGCTTTCCTGTGTTGTCAATTATTGCCGCCGGCACTGCAATGCCTCTCCGTGGGAGGGTACTCTCTGGTAGAATCCCGCCTTCGCCGCACTTTGTCCCTATCAGTTGACCGTATCCCCCACAGGAGTACGGCGCGTCACACCATCTCTGTGCGTCTGCATGTAAATGCTGTGGGGGGTGTGGTGAACGAAGGTGTTTTCAGTCCACCTGGCGTCTCACTTTTGTTGTGTGCCGCCGCCACCGTCTTTGCGACAGGGAAGCAACATGCTCAGAGAATCTAGCCCGCCGGCAGTGTGCCACGGAAACAGACACCAGGGTTTCCCCCCCCCCTGACCTGGTCTGGCATTGGAATTTGTATTTTCCTTGTATAATGCGGCTGAATGACTTGTGGCTGTCTAGACGTCGCGATGTCTTGTGCCAGCCGACTGTGCCCACGAAGTGATCACAGCGCGCGCGCGCACCGCTGCAACAACGCCGGCTGGCCGTATTAGGCTTACTCTCACATGTGCGGACTTCCTTCACTTCGAGAGCCCTGTGCGTCCCCCCGGTCCCCTCCCCCCCCTCTTTCCGCCCCTTTACCGCAGTGCGTCATGAACTTTCCCGTCCGCATCATACCGGACTGTCGAGTCTAGGATCCCGACGGTTGTCTGTTTATGACTGTGCATTTACGCCTCTTACGTAAGCGACCTACACATTGGGCCAGAAATACCCCTCCCCACTCCCCCCCCGGGTACAGCGTGATGAAATGATAAAAATCAAGTGGTAATCAAAATTCGTGAGCTCGTTCTGCTCCTGATCGACTCATTTCAAAGTAAGATAGATGATTGAGGATAAATTATTCTGTTTTCCAATATTGGATAGACCCCTGCATTGCCGCGTAGCCCAATTCGAGTGGGCTCTTATGTACTTATCATGCAATCTTGGCACCTCTAGTCTGTCTCGTCTTATTTATTCCTTAATCGTTCATGATATACCTCACATTACGAATGAATTGTTGTAAAAACCTGAGAGAATGGTGTTGTAGGCCGTGGTCAGTGCGCTCATTAGGTTTTTTTGGGTTACTGAGGACACCCTCTTTCTTCACCTTGAGACTGCTCTGATTCCGGATATTTCAAATTAAGTTCAGATCTGACGGGCAAGTTATTTCATAAAATTAAGTATTTAGATTTCACACGGCGACAGTTTGACCATCGCGATCGATGATGTCTATCGTGTCTCATAGCATGTTGGGGGTAGATACGACTGCCTGCGCGTTAATTAGTTTGTAGTGATGGTAGACTTGCGCAGCGCCTATCACACTGTCTCTTCGCCCAGCTGGGTCCGTTTTCAAGACTGAGATTGCATCGGATGCCGACGCTGACAAGCATAAACGGCACATCTGCGCGCGTCACCCACGCCCTGTTTGCGCACAATAGACCAGGCTTTCATAGAAACAAGAAGTGGCCGATTCGGATTCCGTTTGAATGGTGGTGCCACAGAGGCCACAGAATGGAGTCATTGCAGACTGACTCCTCCGTCCTGAGAGGACGGAGTTATCCCTGGACAGTTGGTTGTCTTCCAAGCCATGGTAGTTTGGGAGCTCGTCTGGAGGAGGACAGTGAAGACAGGCGCTGCGATCTACGAAGCCAACCGCATCGCTGCCGCCAAAGCGAAACGTGAAGCCCGCAAATCACAACTTCGCCCAGTACGCAACACCGCCGCACAACCGCTTCCAACGTGTCCTCGATGTCAACGGACATTCCGGGCTCGAATCGGACTTGTTGGACATCTTCGGATTAACTGCGCCTCTCGAACGGCACCAACCATCGTTCCCCCGCCCTCCTCTTCCTCCTCCTTTCCGTCGCCAACTAACTCTGACAATTCTTCTGACCCACCACTTCCATCATCCTCCTTCTCCTCCTCCTCCTCCTCCTCCTCCTCCTCCTCGCCCACTGCTCCAACGGCGGCCGCTCAGGCGACTGTCCCGTGCACAACAACCGACACTACCACCACCTCCCCCGACTCCAGCGATGATGATCAGGACTACACTTGCCCTCACTGCGACCGTACCTTCACCTCACACATCGGCCTGGTCGGTCACTTGCGAATCCATCGCACAGAGACTGGCAAACCAGTGCGTGAAGCACCAACCTACACCCACCGCACTCGCCTCCACTGCCCACACTGCCCTCGCACCTTCAGGCATCGCATGGGCCTCTTCGGCCACATGCGCATCCACGAGAGCGGCTTTGACCTCACTCCCGACATTGCCACCACATCCAACACATCCACCGTGCACACCCCCACCCTCGCTCCATCCGTCCGAGCCACCACCACCACTACCGCCTCCACTGTAGCTGACACTGACACCGCCGACTTCTCATGCCCACACTGTCGACGCCCATTCACCTCACGCATCGGCCTGGTCGGTCACTTGCGAATCCATCGCACAGAGACTGGCGAACCAGTGCCTGGAGCACCCACCTATACCCACCAAGCGCGTCTCAACTGCCCACACTGCCCTCGCACTTTCAGGCATCGCATGGGTCTCTTCGGCCACATGCGCATCCACGACGACCTGCGGTAGACAACCGCCAGTCACACCACACATTCACTCCCTACCTCCTCCTCCACCACCACCACCACCATCACCCCACCAGAAATCAACAATCACACACCTCATGCACCCAACTGCCACCTCCCACGCAAGTGGGAAGTCCGCATCTCGACTCGGTCCCCATGCGGCTTCGGCTGCACGGGTGACTTGAGTCCGAGATTATTCCGACACGTCAAGCGTCGTGGATAGGAAGGTTGCTGATTGACGCCCGCTCTCGGTTCACGCAGTTCGTCGCGTTGTGTGTGTGTTGTGTGGAATGGCGGACTGGTGGGCTGGGGACGGGCTGAAACAGCACCTTCCACGACACTCTCACGCAAGTGAGAGACACGCCGTTCAACCCCCGTTGTGTGAAATCCTGGTGTTGTGTATGGGGGGCCAGGTCGTGCCGTGGCGTGCGCAGTCATGGTCAGTCGGCCGTGTCAGCCACCGCGCCCATTTCCCATTCCAGTCTGCTGACCGGCTCGGACAGCAGCTGGGGTGTAGGAGTGGGAGGGGTGAGTGAGGTCGACGACTCAGCGCACTTTCTTCTTACTATAAACAATCTGACGCGCTTGAAGCTATCACGGTGCGCTAAAAGCCGTGGCTTGGAAGGTTGCCAACTGACGGGGTAACTTGGACCTCCTCCTTCACTGGAGGTGGTCTGAGAGCCAGGCTGCAATGGC